AGTCTGGGTGCTGCCTGTGTTCTCCCTGTGCTGTTTGTTTCTGCTTGACCACACTTGATGAAATCCGGGCACTGGGGAAATGTGTGGGGTGATTGTTGTGTCCTGGACAAGCACAAAACGCTCTCAGCAGCCCTAAATCCTCACTCCAAACCCTGATTGCTTCAAATGGAAAGAAAAGCGGGATGTTCACAGAAGCGTTCATGCTGTGTACAAAGCGTTTCAGCAGTGAACACATAGGTGGGTCTGCTGCGGGTGTTGAGGGGTTTGAGACAGAATTACAGGAGTACAGAATGGATTGGGCTGGAAGGGAATTTAGAGATATTCCAGACCTTCCACCAGGTCGCTCCAACCTGCCCTTGGGCACTCCCAGCGATGGGGCAGCCGCAGCTTCTCTGGCAGCTGTGCCAGGGCCTTATTCCTCCCCCAAATCCCATCTACCGCTGCCTCGGGCAGTTTCCAGCCGCCGTGCCGAGCTTTGCGGCCGCCGCTCCCGGCCCGGCCGCTCTCTCCCGGTGCCCCCCGGCGGAGGCGGAGGCGGAGGCGGAAGCGGAAGCTCGGGCGGCGTTTCCGTGTCCGGGCGCGGTGCCCTTGGAGCGGACATGGCGCTGGCGCTGCTGCGAGCACGGCCCCGGGGGACCGCCCTGGGTGAGTGAGGCCGGGGCCGCGGGGCGGGCGAGGACCGCGACCCCCGAGAGCGCGGGACCGCGGAGGGTGCGGGATCCCGGTGGCTCCGAGCCCCCGGAGGGTGCGGGATCCCGGTGGCTCCGAGCCCCCGGAGGGTGCGGGATCCCGGTGGCTCCGAGCCCCCGGAGGGTGCGGGTCCCCCCGCTGACACTGCGCCCCCGTTGTTCCCGCAGCTCTCCTCGGCTCGGCCCTGCTCCGCCGCCCCGCCGCGCTCGGTGCCGCCGCCGCTCGCTGCGCTCCGGCCCGCGACAGCCACGGCCCGGCCCGCCAGGGACACGGTACTGCCCTGTCTGTGTTTGTCCGTCTGTTTTTGTGTGCCGGGGTCTCGTTTTCCCGGGATCTGGATCCCTTTTCGCATCCCTGGAATTGCTGGATGGAGCTCCGAGCAGCCGGGTGTAGCGCAAGGCATCCTGCCCAAAGGCAGGGGCTGGGATTAGATGATCCTTAAGGTCTATTCCAACTTCTGAATACTCTGTGATTCTGTCAGGAGTGGGTTGTAAAGGACCAGATTTTGGCTCGGATCCTCCAAGGGACCAAGAGCGGTGCAGGAATAAAGGACAGAGGTGGTGGAGATGGTACCCGATGGCCATACAGGGATTTAAAAACGAGATGAGCTTTAAGGTCTCTCCCACACCAAACCAGGCTGAGTCTGTAATTTTTTTTGGACCGCTTAGGAGATTTTAAGAGGCAGCTGTAACAAAGAACAGAAAAGATTTACACATGGTACAGTGATTTTCTTGGTGTCTTGTTGGGTGATACAGGGTTATAGAAAAGGAAAAAAGAATCCTAAATGCCCATTGATTTAAGGGCAAAGTTGTGAAATGCTGAGCGTTGTTAGGGCAGTAACTGTGCAGATGTTATTTGTGATAAATAATCGTGCTGTTCTGGTGCCTCAGGCTGTGAGGAGTGTGTGTTCCCTCACCTTCAGCAGCACTGCTACCAGTTAATAGCACTCCAGTTTGCACTTTGCCTGAGTCCAAACTTGAGATCCTTTGCTTTCCTTCTTTCCTTATCTTGTCGCTTTCTAAATTTCTTCATGCCAAAACAAAGGAAAACATTAGCATTTTGGTTTAGATGGATGGATGATAGCTGTGTGTTAGTTGAGCAATTTAGGGGTGTTGCATTGATAATTTTAGAGTAAATTCTTGATGGTTTCAGCCTGGGCTGATGCTCCCGCTGTGTTTCCAGGTATTGCTCATGCTGGGTTTTGGTTTGCAGACACTCCAGATTTCAAAGCCATCCCTTCAGCCCTTGCCAGAGGGGCTTTTCCCTGAGGATGTTTCTCCTTGCAGGCAGTTCCAAGGCTGCATCTTTGCACTGGACAGGGGAGCGAGCGGTCAGTGTGCTGCTGCTGGGGCTGCTCCCTGCAGCCTACCTGTACCCCGGACCGGCCGTGGACTATTCCCTGGCTGCAGCCCTCACCCTGCACGGCCACTGGTAAGCACAGCAGGGCTCAACTCACAGCCAAGCTCTGGTGGCTCCAAACCTCGTCCTGCTCTAGTGTAAGACACCTGGAGAAAGTCCTCGGTCTCCATGTGACAGTCGTGGTCTTTGGCAGGAGTGGTCGTACTTTGCTCTTCCTTTCTCACGCTGTTCTCTCGGTCAGAAAAGGAACCCATAAAAAATGTTCTGGTCTCTTAACCTTAGGAGCACTTCCTTGCCCCTGGAATTGTTGAATCCTGGATGTTTTTAACCTGTGGAAGAACCAGTGTTGTGTGAGTGGAGGGAATAGAAAGAGGACAGATCTGTATAAAATTAATATAAAAATGTTCTGCCTCTAAAGCTCTGTGCACTGGCTTTGTGCATCTCAGTGGTGATGAGGTTCTGCACGATAAAGAGCTCACAGCAAATAATCCACTAAGGAAACTTGGATGATTATTTCATTTATTCCTGGATGGATGTTTGCTCAGTGTTGTTCTAATTAGGAGTGGACTGGCAGCATCCACCTTCCTGAGGTGATCCTGGTTTGGGAGTTCCTTGCCACAAGGATAAAGAAGATTTTCATGGTACTTTGAGGGTACCAGGTTTTCTTAAACCTCAGTTTTGCCCTTAGGAATTTGTGCCAGGATTCTTGTACTTTCCTTGCTCTCACTGGGAGGTTTTTCCCAAAACAAGCATCCTGTGTCTTGTGTTGCTGGATAGTTCAAATCTGGACAGGAGTTCACTTCCAGATGTACAAAAAACTGAAAAATATGCTAGTTTCTTTGGTTGTCACTCTTCTGATCTAAATGCATACCCAGGAGTCTTCTGTGTTTTTGTGACTGTGGCTGGTCCCACATATTTCCTTGGTTTCCCTCATTTTCAGTCCTTGGAAGTTGGATAAGAAGGCAGATTCCAAGGATTCTGTTGTCTGGAGACCTGTGGTCAGCACTTGGTTTCCTCAAAAAACTCTGAGCCAATCTGTGTGTTTCCAATAGAACCTGTGAAATGTTTTGTTTTTGAAATAGATCCGTCCTCTTTCTGAGTGGGGACTGAGCATTCTTCAGGAAAGGCTGATGGCAGCAGGGGGAAAGAGCGAGTTGGCACAACGGGGACACGAAGCGGATGGATCTCAGTGAGTGAACTTTGCTGATCTGAGCTTTTCTCTCTTGTTTAGGGGTCTGGGCCAGGTAATTACTGATTATGTGCATGGAGACGTCCCCATTAAAGTGGCCAACACGGGGCTGTACGTCCTGTCTGCCCTGACCTTTGCTGGCCTCTGCTACTTCAACTACCAGGACGTGGGCATCTGCAAGGCTGTGGCCATGCTCTGGAGCCTGTGAGGAGCCCCAGCCCCGACACACACGATTGTCCTCTGCTGCCTCTGCTTCATCAGCTTGTGAGCAACGTCCTGCACAGCCAAGGAATGGCCAAGGGTCCCCAGTGAGCCTGCAGGGGGCTCACAGCTAGGTTAGAATATATAGAGAAAAAACAGATTTAAAAGCAGATTTCACTGGAAAATGTCCAGTGAGAATGGATTTGATCTGTGCTGTAAATTGGGGTGAATTAATTACATCAGTGGCAGACTTGTGTAGCTAAAGGGAACCCTCCTTGTAAAACCAGCTTTAATGAGTGTTTTTCTGACTGTTGGTTGGTTTGCTATTCTGTAAAACAAGCTTGGCTTGTGGAAAACTGAACTGCTTCTGACATCAGTGTGTAAGGCAGACCCTGTAACTCTTTGGACCTGGGGAATTGATGTAGAGAAGGGAATACTTTTTTTCTTAATCCATGCAATAAAGAATTTACAGAAATTCTGTGTGTGCTCCTGAACCATTTTTACTGCTTTTGGGTGGCCTAAAATGTTTTCTCTGCAGATAAGTCTGCTCTGCCTTACTTCATAAAACAAAAAATATTTGTATGAGTCAATACTTAATTGGTGACTTAGACTTGACTTAATACAAGAATTAATGTCCCTTAGAAAATACAACAAGGATTGGTGTAAAATAAAAATACTTTCGCAGATTGACTTTAGGAACATTCAACTTCCAAGGTTTTTATGTTCATCTGCAACACTTCTTTTGAGGTTTATTTTCTAAATACTCTGGTCTGTGTTGTCCTGTGTGAGAAAACACAACAAAGAGGAGGCTGAGGGAGTGTTCTGTTCTTTTTGGGATTTTTTAGGGGGGAACTGAGATTGTGATTTTTAATTTCCTGCTTCATCCTGACTTTCACGTTCTCACAGTACTTTTGTGGCACTATTAATAGTGAGAGGAAGAGAATTTGTGCTACCATCAGGGATTATGCAACAAACAGAACGACCACGTCACGGTTTGGAGTCTACAAGACTTTCTGATTATTTTTTTTTTTTAATTTTTTAAATTGTTTTTTGAAAATACGGATTGGAAATTTTATTTATTAGCAAAAGCAGGTAGCTGGCCAATTTTTTTGTTTGTGTTGTGGTTAGAACAGGGCTGTGGTCTGGTTTAAATGGCAACATTTTGTTATTTTGTGGCAGGGAGGAGGAGGGTGCAGATGATGAGACACGGGAAAGTCCCTGTGAGCAAGCTGAGGGTCTCTCATGGAAAGTGTCTGAGGTTTCCTCACACAGGATGCAGCTGGATGTGGTGTTTAAGCTACTTGGGTGAGAAATCTGGGAGTATTGGGAATGTAGAAGTCCACACCTAATTCAAAAGCTGTTTGGTCAACAGGCATTAAAGATTTTTGGGATCAAATTCTACATAGACATGCACATTCTTGTTTCTTCAGTAATTCTCTTCTGTCTAACTGGAAAACATTCTTCTGCTTTTTGCCAAGAACTTGCATTTATTTTTTTATTAAGTACTGAGAGTAGTTAAAACATAAAACTGACTTGTTTTGGATAAAGAAAGACTAAAGTTTCTTTTTTAAAAAAACAAACTGTATTTTAAAACTGTTGAAGTGTTCCATCATAGGTTGTGATTTTCATTCTGACTGAACTTAGATAAACTCATCTTCATGGTTTCATCAACTTCATCTTTTGACAGTTTCTTTAGGATTAATTTTCTCAAGTAGCCTTCTTCCTCAAAGGCCAAGAACATTCCTCGTTCCATTGAGTATTCAAACTTAAATGCTTTGGAGCAGCAAGATGTAAATGTCTTTTTGAAAAAGATGATGTTGCTTTCACCAGGAATTTCTTTGGGAACTTCTCCTTCCTGAGGAAGGAAAAAGGGAACAGGTTAATCCCAGCACGAACCCTGACCAGTTTTATTCCAGCACTGAGTTGTGGATTCTGCCTGTTGGGTTTGTACGGATGAGGAGAGGGAAGCAGGTCCTTACCTTGAATCTAACGATCATTTCTCCACATTCCCTCTCACAACACATGTAATAACTTTTGTCTTCCACTTGGACACTGAAGGCCACGGGCATCCCTGCTAAGGGTGTGGTGGTTTTGTAGCAGTGAATGCTGAAATGCATCCCTTTGCCTGGAAATAAACGGATTATTATTGATAACCTGCCCACAGGGAGCTGCACAGCTGAATTCAGTGATGTTCTACCACTCCCCTGGCAACTCTGGCTGTCTTGCCAGGATATTTTTCCTGACAGAAGAGCCAGGACTTGAATTTTTATGGCTTCTAGTTGTGCTTTGTGCACTCAGGCAATAAGCAGGGTGCACCACAGCAGCTGAGGTCAGCAGGCAGTGTGGGGAGTGCAGAAAGGGACTGGCATGTGGAAGTGGCTCTCTGTAAATCACACCATGGCTGGACAGAGGTGATCCAGAAATAGAGATGGTCAGTAAATAGAATTGTAAATAAATTGCTGAAGCACCCCAAAAAGTCAAAGCCAAAGCTCTAAGTTTATAGCTAATGCTGTTAGAAGAAAGTAAGACCTTTTAGTTCCAATATACTGTTTGAAATTTAAAATGGTTTTTTGTAATCCAGTATAAAAAAAGGGAAGAATTAAGAATTTTGTGATCAGAGCCAAGAAAAAATCTTAACAGCCCTTTTTCTGCATGTGATATCCTGCAGGCTTTGGTCTAACCCAGAAATCTCATCCATTACCAATGCCCAAGACACAAAATTTCACTCTCAGCTTAGTTTTATTCTTGCAAATGAAGTTTTAAGTCATTATTCTCAGTCCCACCATTGAGTGGATGATTACAAAGAACAAAACCACCTCCAGGATAAAACAGCAGAGCAGTGCTGATGGTTCCTATTTGGGAATTACCAGATTGCATCTCCTGGTCTGTCACATCCTCAAAGGCTGCCACGTTCAGGTCTGGGCGCACCACGAGCAGCTGGCTCTTCACATTCCTCAGCACTCGGTGCAGGGTCTTTTCCTTGCAGAGCGCATCACACTCCAGCTCTGCAGGAAAATAAAGCAAAAGTCTTCACATTTTAGCTGTTGTCTCCTCAGATCTCGACAGTTTGCTGCCAGCTTAATCCTGGCACTGTGGATGTCATGTGAAAGGAGTTCTTAGAATTTCTAACAGCAAACAAAAGGAAGGTCACAGCATCTTTTACACCTGCTTGAAGCAGATTTCCCAGAATACAAACATTTATTTATAGAAGCAAGAAAAGCTGCTGTGTTTGTTAACTGAGAATTCAGAAGCATCAGTTCTCTTTTGCCCAGCAATTAAAGTGCATTGCAAGGTGTTCTCAGGGAAGCCTCTACCCTGTGGCTTCTGAGGAATTAAAGCAACATCAGCATCAGAAGGAGCAGTGAGCTGTGGCTCTGGGTTTTTTTGCAGCTACTCTGAGTTTGAAACTTGTCCTCTCTGGATTGCTAAGTGTGAAATGAGTAACAAAATCATAAAAGAAGAGTTCTCGGCTTACCATCGTCGTCTTGGTTCCAAGCGAGCAGTGAAAAAAAGGAAAGAAAAAAACAACATTAAGCTGTGCCCCCACAAAAGAAGTCACCCTGTGCCCAGTGCCACCAAGGCTGAGCTGCTGTCACTACAGACAGGGTTTATCTGTGAGCAAAACAACTCCTTTGAGAACTGCAGTCACCACCAAACCAGAGGTATGCAAAATGCTTTTTGGGGGTTATTTAAGGGTGAGAAGGTTACTCTAAGCCTAAAACTGAGGAATAACTGTATGCAAATTTTTGGTTTTATTGGTGCCTTTAAGTGAGCAAAAGGATAAGAAGAACTCATTACAAATTGCTTTTAAAAAAGAAATGGTTTTCTAACTGACTTTTTTCCATAAGATTGGAAATTACTCACTCACTTCAAGTCCACCCCCCAGTATTCCAACACTTCTGAGTGTCCTTTCCCAGAAGTTTTTTGTATAAGCAACAAATACTCCCCGACTCAGATACTTGGCTAATACTTGGCTAACACTTAAAACAGAAGATGATGGGAACGTTAGATGAAATCAGACTGACAAGGGAATTGTGTTAAATCAGTATTCAAACAAAAAAGGTTATTAAGTGCTCTAATTACCGTCAAAATAGAGGCAGAAATTTTTTCCAAGTTCTACTGCACACATCAGAATCTCTTCAGCACTCATCTTCACCCTGCCCACAGCACAAGGAGAGGAATCAGAGTTAAGCTCGATGCTTTTTACCCCATAAAGGGGTGCAAGTTAAGTCTGCACAGACTGATCTTACTAGGCTCCCCCTAGAAAAGCATGAGCTTCCAAAATACCCAAAAGTTAGAACCCATTCTGACTGCCCCTAAAAAGGTCATCTCTTGCACTAAAGATAATAAATGTCTTAAAACCAGATGAACAATGGGGAGATCATCACTCCAAAAATGGCTCCTTCACTGGGATTTGATTGTGCAATCAAAATATGCAGCTCACTCCAAAGCTTTTTCACCAGCTGAAAATGAATTTTTATACAAAACTGAGCAATATCAATGTAAGTAGCCACATACCCCCAGAGGGATTAGGGTAGGGAATCACTGTGGTTTTTCTCACCCAAATTCCTCTGGAGATTAGGCAAAGCACTTTGAGGAATGTATTTGACAGTGACTTTTTTCTCTTTGCATTTGGTGGTTTTTATCTAGTTGTGGCTGTGCAGAAGGGACAGCAGGCTCCCAGCAGCATCTTTGCAAGAGTGCACATCCATGCCATGGAAACGAGATCGCACAACACCCAACAATGCAATCCTTAGTGCATTAATCACAGAGTCCTCTGTAATTCTAAAGTCCAGGGGCAGGCACAGGCAGGACTTTTTACAGAGGATTAAAGGAAAAAGTAGCCCTTGGTTTAATGGGTAAAACAAAATGACTGTTGATCATAGAATCAAAAAGGTTGGAAAAGACCTCCAGGATCATCAAGCAGTAAAAGATGGTTATTCAGACCTTTTACCAGGGGCGTTCGAAAGGAAAGGCAGAAGCTCAAAGGAGTTTCTGACTGTCAGCCGTGGAATGACTCACCCTGAGAAAGCCGCAGGGCTGCGGGGCGGGAGCAGAGGCGGCTCTCGGGTGTCCTTTCTGGATCTCGGGTGTCCTTTCTGGATCTTGGGTGTCCTTTCTGGATCTCGGGGGTCCTTCCTGGCTCCTCGGGAGCTGCAGCCGGGCGATGGGAGCCGCGAGAAGCGCAGCTGCGGAGCTGCCGGGTCAGGACCGGGGCTGTGCCAAGGCCACCCCCGGTGGGTGCCCCGCCGCCGGGGATGCCCCACCCCGAGGCACTGAAGCACGGGAGGGAAGCGAGCGCTGCAGGGAGGGGTTTTATAGCGGCTGCCGAGCTCCGGAGGCTTTCCCAAGGTCTGTGCCTATGTCCGCCTTTCTCGCACGGCATTTCCCCTCCTCGCTGCGGCAGCCAGCGCCTATGCAAATCTGGCCTTCCGAGGGTGGCTTTGTAGCGCTCGGGTGTCGCAGAGCTCCTGCTCCAGCCACCCCTTCACGGCAGCTTTGAGGCAGCTTCTGCCCGTGCCCGTCCGGCTTCCCCTTGCTGGCTCCATGCGGGAAAGCCTTTGGGATGGAAACCACCGCGATGTTGGTCCCTTACTGCCGGTGGCAGCAGTGCCCAGCAGTGCTGGCACGGGTGAGGAATGTCCCGTGCCATTAGTGCAGTAATGGGGTGACAAATGTCCCATTCCAGCCCTTAGAGCAGCAATGGGATGAGGAATGTCCCAGCCCTTAGAGCAGCAATGGGGTGAGGAATGTCCCAGCCCTTAGAGCAGCAATGGGGTGAGGAATGTCCCAGCCCTTAGTGCAGCACTGCTGGCACGGGTGGAGGAAAAACCCGCACTGCCTTTGGGGAGTGTTGAAAGCAGCAAACGCTGGAACCGCAGTGCTGGGACAGGCCCTAAAAACCAGGGCAGCGAGCTTGGGAATGAATAATTTCCCAATTTGTTCCATCTCCGTGCCTGGATTTGCTGTTTCTATTGAAATTGAAGAGCCCCAAATTGTGTGGATGATAAAAACACCCCAAATTCCCACATCAAACCCAAGTCCCCAAGACATTGTCTCAGCTGTTCATGTGCCTTCTATTTGCACTAATATTTTTGGCCTATTGAAATTCCATACAAAGGTATCAGGAAGGAGGACTTGGTCTTTCATGACAGCCTTTGAGAGCCTTAGTTCATTGATGACAGAGAATAAAAGGCATTTCCTTCTCTTTTGTGCACATAAATGCATTTTTCAGGATCGGATCTAACTCGTACAATAGCTTTTGTGGTACAGTTTAAAATTTAATTTCTCCTGGAATTTAATATCTCCAATCTTAGAGCAACTGTGACTACTTTTAAAGTAATGGCTTAGATAATTTTGCTCAAATTTTAAAGGAACTGGAACTCCAGTAAGAATGAACTCTCTCCCCTTAGATAATTTTCTTTCAGTGTTATTTTTAGTCTGAGTTTTATTCATAGACTATCATATCCATAAGATAATGGAAATGAAAATTCAGATGTTTGTTTTACTTCTGGTAAAAGGTCTGTTAACAAAACCTTTTACCATGACACAATTAAGTAAACATCTCAAGAACATTTTCCTAATATGTTGTCATCTCTTTTTCTTAATGTTTAGATAGTCAGGCTAATAACATAATTACCTATGAAATACCTTATAATTAAATGAAGTGGACCATGGAAGCTTATTAAAAGTTGTTTCTACTTTGAGGAATTAGGTTTTTGTTCTTTCAGCAGTTTGATTTCTCATGCTGATATTCTAACTTCCTATTTGGATTTTGTATATGAGATTTAAGTCCTTTCCTCTCTACAAAACAGAAGATAGAAAAACAAAGAAAAAAAAAAGGAGGGAAAAAAACCCAAGTCAGAGGCAAACTCTACATAACATCACATACCATATCTTAAGTTGTATATCATAAAACAACATATCATAATGTAAACATGTTATATAGCATAACACTAATATCAGTTTAGATCTTGCAATGGTTTATTTCACTATAATGAACAAAGATATAATTCCCCTACAGAAGTGAAACGGCCTCGGGAAAATATTTATTCTCTATTCTTTGGAGAGAGAGAGAAATGCTCTTGGCAGCCTTGTGTTGTGGTGGTGTTACAGATTTTAGTGCTTTTACACATTTTGGTGTTTTTAGTTGTTCTAACAGCTTAGCTGGGATTTAGTTTCTTCATGTAGGAAAAGTTAATTTTTTATTTACGTAATTCAATTTTACACAGGTTTTACAGGCTGTGTGCAACTTTGATTGGCTAGTAGTATTTTTGCTTCTTATTGGTTAAAAGGTGTTTTGTGTGTACATGCAAAAACTCTTTCTTATTTAGATATTTACATACCTTTTTTACTGATTCTGATGGGACAGATCTCTTGTTTCTCATAGGTGCAACCAGAATAGTTTGTTGTGTTAACTGGCTTTTCCTTCCTAAGGTTGTTTTTGCATGGAAATTTAGAAGCTGCTATTTGGAGTAGCAGGGCTTAAACCATATTATATAAAACCTTTCTTTTATAATATCTCTATCTGTCTGAAACATTTTTACTCATTTTAGTGCTGCGTTTAGTGTTGACTCATTTGAGTGTTGTTACTCGTTTTAGTGCCTGGTCTCTCAGATTACGCTCATTTCTGACTCGTGCTTTGAAGCGGATAAATCGAGCGTCAAACGCATTCCAAGGATTTCGCTTAGAAAGTGAAACCTGTCTTCTAGGGAAATGATTAAGGAGTTGTTTAAAGCTTTAATTAATTGAACCACCCGGGCCGGGGCCGCTCCTGGTGCTGTCAGCGTGCCCGGCCCGGGCTCCTAAGGCGCTGCCAGCCCTGAGGGGAGCGGCTGGCCCTTGTGTCTCGTCCCTTGTCCCTTCTTTCTCGTCCCTTGTTCCTTCTTTCTCGTCCCTTGTTCCTTCTTTCTCGTCCCTTGTCTCTTGTTTCTCTCCCCTTTTCGCTCGTTCCTCGCCCCTTGTCCCTTTTCCCTTGTCCCCACCGTCGCGGCCTCTCCAGGCCCGGGCCCGCCCCGGGCCCGCGTGAAGGGGAAGCCGCGGGGCCGGGGGTCCCTTCTGGAGCCTCGGTGCCCTCAGGCTCTGGGAGCACCGGGAAGGGCTAAACCTCCTCGGATATCGAATTTAGGCTGGCCCGGGACTCCCCGCCGTTCCCCCGCCGTCTCCAGCTCCTCTGAGGGGTTGTGCCAGGAGCACCCTTGCAGGGGAGCCAGCTGCAGGTTTGACACGTTTTTATTTAAACACTCTGCCAGCATGAGCGCTCAGCAAACACCGCGTGCTTTCCTTGAGGCAGCCATGGCGAGCAACTCGAAAAAGGCAGATAAGAACAGAAATAAAGGCAAAAAGATGGAGGTGAGCGGTGCTATGTGGGGAAGGACCCCCCTATAACATGTCCTCTAGACTGAAGGAGCAGAAATCCACGGCACTTTAGGGGGGTTTGGGGAAACATAAACGACTTTTTAGTGTGGAGAAACCATGGTTTCTCTGGGGGCTTGAAGCCAAATAAAATTGGGTAAGCACTGGGATATATTTATGCAGAACTTCTCAAGAGTGAGCTTCTGAAGTACACCAGCTTTCACTGAGGTATATATACAACATATGTGCATATATATAAATACATGTGTTTATACGCAGAGATCTCAATCTTCCCACCCACTCCCCAAGATGCTCATGATGCTGTGAACCCACTTGCATTTTCTCCAAAAACATCCCCAAGATCTTTTTAAACCTCTTCCTTCTCTCAGCTGAGCTCTGTGCAAAGTTTGTTTTAAATCTTAGAAGCTGTGTTTTTCCTAATGTGCTCTTTTGTTAGAATGAAGCTTCAGAAAATCCTCAGTTGTCTGACAAAACAGATTTGGCTCCTTCTGAGGACTCACAGTCCCTTTCCAAGACTGAATCACTGGAAAATGTTTTAAATGGTGATGTATTAAATTAAGTATGGAATGACCTAATTTCATGCTGAGATTCTTCCAGATGTTTAAATAAAATCTTTTTTTTTCTCTCTTAACAGAGGTGAACAAAGAAATGAATAACTTGTTAACAAAATATGCTGATGTTATAAGGCAAGTTAATTTTGTGCTTTTTGCACAGCAATTTTAAAATTGTCTAGCTAAGATGGATGGGTGGCTGCAGTTTAGGGAAATTAACAGTGAAACTGCCAAACACAGATCTTGAAAGAAAAACACTGGTTTTTATTACAACAGAGGATTAATTTGGTCAGAAACCGGGAATTGATAGACAATCCATTTTTAATAAAAATATAAAAGTAGTGAGAAAGTTAATAGCATTAGCACTGATTTTAACTACAGATTTCTTCACTTTAGTGCAAGAACAACATTGGATTCTTCTTATGTCCAGGAACTTGATGAGATCTTAAAAGAAGCCAGGGCCACAGAAAACCACTTAAAGCAGAAAAGAGAGAAACTGAAACAGAGATTCGCTGTCATTGCCAATACTTTGTAAAGCTAAATGGAGTTACAGAAGTGCAGAGCCAAAGTCGTGTTTGTGCATGAAAACAAACTGTGATGAGTGTTGTGATGTCTGTTTCTTGTATAAATATTTCTGTCAGTTCAGGAAACTGCCAACAAGTTTAGCAGCTACTTAGTGTTTAAATACATAGTGTAGTGGTGGTTAATAAAAACAATTCTGAATATCTGTTTTAAATCCTGTAACTCAAGGGACTATGACATTAAGCTGTGTTAACCCATTAAACATAGCAAAAAAACATTTCTGTGAAACACAGATATTTATGATGTAAGTGGAAAATGACCTCGGAGTATTTCATGTTAACCACTTCCTGGTTATGTTTTGGTTTTTTTTTTTTCCTTTCTACTTTAAAAAATGTTTTTGTGATAACATCTTAGTAGAATATACTTGTAATGTTATTTTCGTTTGGCCTCAGAATGTAAACAGGTTGAAAAGGTCAGTTTAGAAATAAGAGAATTCTGTAAAGAACTTTGAGACAGTATAAAGTATTCATTTCAAATGCATTGTAATACTGGTACATGTGTTACTTTTCAAGGCCATGTTGATATAAAACGTAATCAAAGCTTTGCTGTTGATGCCAATAAATAAATAGATAATGTCAACACGATCTGGAGGTACAGTGTTATTTTGTTACTGGGCTACATAGCTGTTTGCTGATCCTCAGTTTTTCTGAGAACACTGAGCCCTTTTCCTTTCTTGTCATCCGGCTCTGTTAAAAATAAAAAAAGATGAAGCATGGAATGTACAAAGGATCACTTGTACAAAGCATGGGGCTTGTAATAAAGTGCTGGAACAAGATATATTTCCATCTTTACCCCAGTGGTGTGCAGTGATTTCCTCTTGAAATCCTCTCAGATCTAATCCTCCCTCCTTTCCCCCTTCCCTGAGCTCAAAGCCAAACGTGCTACGTGTCACAGCAACACGATTTAAAGCAAAGAATGAGAGGAACTGGACATGTAGGGTGAGATTTAGATCCCTAAAGATGCAGATATGTCCTTAGCAGGATTTTCAAAGTGCCTAAGCATGGTGTAAGCGCCTTACATGCTTAGGAATTTTGGAAAATCCCGTAAGGTGCCTATCTGCATCTTTAGCATCTAAAGGCTTTCCAAAGTCTCACCACTGCTCTGGCATCATATTTAGCAGTCTCCTGTTTTTCCCCTGATATTCTCACGCTTCTCTGTTTATAGAGAGAAATGTGGGAGAAAAAGAGAAGATCTAGGAAGTGACATTTTCTAAAATGTTGTGCTGGGTGTTTGTAAAATCCACGCTCATCTGTAGTGATGGCACAACCCAGAGTTTCCAAATGATGTCTGCCAAGGGCCTGAACTCAGACATTTACCCACAGTTATTTATGAGTAATAAAGGAAAGGTATACAAATTTAATTACTGAGGAACATCTGCCCTAAAATGAATGAAATATCTGTTTTACAGAGTTTAGGCTTGAAATGGTGAGTTCAGAAAGTTTAAAACATCCATTGAAAATAAGTCAGCCTCTCCTCTTGTGAAGGATATGTCAGCAATAAAAATATATATTTCATATAATAATACTTCAGCAATGGAAATGTATTAATCACACATTTATCTCTCCCTGTTTAAAGGGAGTTTTCCATAATTGTTGTGCTGGCCAGAAATACAGAGCACTTTTCTCCTGGCTGCTCATTAGTGTTCCACTCAGTATCTCAATATATGGACACACTCATTACACACGATTTTCCTTCTAAACCATTAAAAAATAAAAATGTATCGCTTTCCTATTTGACTACAACTCATCCACCCCACGACTGATGCTGCTGATTGCCCCTCTTACAGATTTCAGTGTTTAATGGGAGAAGCAAAAGAAGTTTTCTCTTCTGCTCTGACACTAAAGGCTCCTTCATGCTGTCCCTGAGCTCCTCATGAAACCCACCTGGCACCCATCCCATCCCTATCCGCTTTCCAGTTTTACTGCAGGAGGTTTGGACAGAAAATTAATTGGCTTTAAAGCAGCTAAATCTGATCAGCAAAGCTCAGCTGGTAACTACGTTTTCTTTTAAGCTTCTCCCCTCCTCGTTTAAGCTCCAGCCTATAAATTAACAAGCACGTCTAAGATGACAGATCAGTAACAGAATATAAATGGATTTTTTTTAAAAATCTGGAAGCATCTTAGACGAAGTTCCGACCCTCTTGGAGTCAAGGGCATCTTGACACTGAGCCTTTGCATTTCTGAGCTTGCTGTGAATTTCTTCACAGGCTGGAAAGTGTAAGTGATGAAAAACCAGTTCCTCTCATTGCTCTTCTGTTATCTAAAAGCTAAAAATGGGAAATAACAGATAATGCAGAGAGTTTAGAGAATCAGTGAATTTCCTGAGAAAAGGCTAATTTTGACTGTTTACTTAAAATGAAACTGCCTTTTAGGATAAATGTGGGTCAGAATAGAACAAGACCAAATCTAGTAAGGATTAGAGGTGTTTAAGGCTCAGGACATTCTGTCCAGAACTAATCAAAATTCAGTTTTGCTAACGGCAGAAGGTTTGACCTTTGAATTGTCTTTGAAGGTGGCACTGGAAAAGAACAGAATGGGCATTTTGCATCATGAGGGGAACAGCCAGAAAAAAAAGGAGGGTAAAGATTTAGGCTCAGTCAGCCTAAATAGCCTGAAAAAACCTAAGAAATTTCTTAACTATGACATGGATAATAATTTTTTTTAAAAAAAAATTCCTTAATGAGAATATTTGGCTTAATATGGAAAAATTACCAGTGGGTATGGCTTGGGACAAGGTCATTGACACCATTGTGTATGATGGTATAGAAAATAAGAGCAATCAGTAAGTAGGGACAAACAAATGATTTAAAAAGTCAATGAATATTATTTTTCTTCTTCATACATCAGCCTATGTGGCATTTTATAGTGATCTACTTCCAGCTTTGTTTATTACACATTATCCCAAATTATTTAGAAAAAGGACTTCAGAGGATATAACCTATTTTTTTTTTAAAGAGTAGCAAACTAGAAGTCATAAATGCATCAATAACATACATGAAAAATTCACTGTAATCTCAAGAAGATGAACGGCTGAGTGGAAATCAAGATTTCCAGAGACCGGAAATATTAAAGAGCTGTGAAAAGATGGGAAAAGGCTGAAGCAGTTGGGTTAGTTGAGAGAAAGCACAGCTCAAGGGAGGGCATACATAATAAGAGAGGAGTTCTAGAAATGCTGGAAGGAAGAAATCAGCTTAATTGGCAGCAGTTTTTGGATGAGAATTAATCCGTGTGCGGAGCGGGCTCCCTGCAGTGCTGTGCCCGCTGCCCTGCTCCCTCTCCAGGCACAGCGCAGCTTTTAAGAGCTGTTTAGTGACCCGAAATCGATGTTTTCAGCACCATTCCAGAGCGCTGAGAGCTCGCTGCTGGCATTCCGAAGGGAAGGGTGTGTCCTCTGTCCAGCTCTGCTGGGAGCAGCACGGCCCATCCTGCTGGATTCTGAGGGGGGAATCTGCCGAGACAACCAGTATTGCCGAAACCCCGCGATCCATTAAGGTGCAAAACTCCTCCTCAGGTTTTGAATCAAAACTATTCTTCACCCCAAGTATTTTCTGGGAGGTGAACACGGAGGTGACGGGGATTTCTGGCTGCTGTGATCACAGATCCACATCCTGTTCTCGCTCATCTTGCCGTGGCTGGAGCGCATTTCGCAGGCTGGGGCAGCTCACCTGGGCCAGGTGAGCGCTGGGGACCGGCCGGAGCCGCCCCGGGCCGCGGAGCGCAGAGCGGGCAGAGCGGGCAGGACGGGCCGGGCGCTGCTGCGGGCACGGCTCTTATTGTGAAAGGATGATGAGAGGCAGCGCTCACCTCTGCCGACCATCGCTGCCTCCTCTGCTCGCTGCCCTGGCACCGCTACCTCCGCCCGGCCGCTCCGAGCCGATGCCTTCTGCCCGCCGCAATATGTTCGCCAAAATCCTTTTGTCCGCCGCCAGCCTCCTGCTCGCTCACCTGCTGCATTTCCTCTGCTCTTTGATGCAGTTCATTCCAGGTAAAACGCGTTAAAAACGATCCCTTTCATCCCGTCCCCTCGGAAAGGGGCTGCCGCTGACACGGGTCGGGAGAACAATTCCTATTGTCGGGAATTCGCAACGGAGCGATCTGAAGTCTTTGTTAGATGGCAGAAAGCGTTGTTTGTTGAATGGATAAACGGGAGAGGCAAGGATTACAGCAGATACAGATGGTCTAGAGCTGGAAAAGCAGCACTCAGCTGATTCTCTCTGCGAGGGAGCCAGCTGGAAGTGGGCAGGGAGAGGATTCTTTGGAGCCGCATCGGTGCCGAGGCTTTTACCGAACATGCAAGTGGTGAACTGCCCCAAAGGATTTTGCATCACAGCCTGACTCTGCGCTTTGTGCCATCATTGCACAGCTTCAGCTGCTTTTTGTTAGGGTTTTTTCGTTTCTTTGTTTTGTTTTATTTGTTTGCCTGTTTTCAGAAATTAGGAGCCAATAAAAATCATGGCAAACCTCACGGGAATTTCAGCTTTTTGATGGTAGTGGTGTTTTTGTGCCCTTTAAATTCAGAGCATTGCTTCCGAGGTATCCAAAGAGCTGAAAAAATCTCAAATCTGCCTTGTTGTGCCACCAGAAAACCCCGAAGTGTAGACTCTGTTTCTGGTGGGGAATCAACAGCTATTTCATATTCTGGAGTTCGCTGTCACTTTTCTCCTTTCCTCCCTTTGAGCTTTCCCCTGCTCTTTCTCTCCATTTATTTTTTTCCCTTGTGTTTTCTGTCCTTTCTTTCCTGTTTTCCTGTGCTCCTCTGGCTGTTAGCAAGGAATTGGGTGCCTGAGCCCCTGACCATGGGGAACCAAGCAACTGCATGGAACAAGGAGCCCAGCACGGGCACTTCCCGGCACTCCCAAGGCAAGTTCTGCCCTTTCTTTTCGGAAATCCCTCTGGGATCTCAGGGCTCCAAGCCCGGGGAAGGCTGGAGTCCAGAGGGCACAAATCCACAGCTCTGGTTTGGGCTGGGGGTCGGGGGAATCTGCTTTGCTTCTGTGTTGTGCCAATCTGTGTTTTATAAGGAACAAAACGCAGCCTGTGCCAGAGCATTATTCCCAGTTTGAATGATCCTCAGGGAAGACAGAATTCTTGCCCCACTCTCCCTCCTTAAAGAATATCATGCACATTGTATTTGCTAAATTTTGCCTTTAATTCTGGATGCCCTTCTGAGTCAAAAAATTAGACTGAGCATGGAGAGGTGGTTCCTGAGCCTTGGGTTTGAACCTGTAGGTTAAAATCAAAATGGCTTTGCCCTGTCCCATGTGATCCCAGTGTTAGAAAATGACTCCCATGGTTCTGCCACCCACCATTAAGGATTTCACGTCCCACCCACTGGTGTTGAAGTGCAGTTTAATGTCTGATTCACGGAGACTGCACCCACAGCAGCCTTCTCTTTGAGACCCTGGTCCTTCATCCCACCATTTCTGGATATAAACAATCAACAAATAATCAATGCTGGGCTGTCAGTTTGTGCTGGGCAGTGAAATCATGGCAGGGAAACAGGAGCTGAACAAAGGGATAACTCTACAGTGACTGCCTGCTGCGTTAGAAAAGATCGGAGGAAAGTTACAGCTCCGTGTTTGGCACTGCCTCTGCTCAGATATGACACAGACCTTAAGGCTGTGTTTGAAAGTCTGAGGTAGGATGGAAACCACGGTGGAGAAATGAGGCTTTTGAGAGGGCAGGTTGTGATCTTGTGCCGATTTCCAGATGTTCAAGCACACACAGAGAGCCCCAGTGGGACTGTATGGCTTTAAGTGTGGATTCGAGTTCTCCCATCTCAGAGCGTGGCCAGAACAGAAGGAGTAATGTTATTTACATATCGTTTAACATTAAAAACCAGTCTGTCTTCTGCCTTTATCAGAAAGTGATTGGTCCCTTCTTGGGGAGCTGGATGTTACAACATTTTAATTTATGACTGAGCTTTCCCCTGAAGGTGAAACGCCTTTTTTGGAATTACTCAGGAACAGTGTTGAGATGGAGTTTTCTGCATTCCAAGTTCTCCGTGCATTCAAAGTGCAGTTAACAGTTATTACTCAGATCTGTTTTTGTTTAATAGGGAAGATATGTAGGATTCTTTTTTTTTTTTTCTTCTTGCATGCCTTCCCTCCCCCTAGCTATTGAGAATTGTGTGCAATGACTTGTCTTGTTTATGGAAGCTTCTGTTCTGGCTCACCTTAGTGCTGGGATTTGTTCCCATTTTGTGCTCATTTCTGCCTGCCAGGATCTTCAGCTCATTTGTGTGATGAAAAAAATAATCCATTCCATTGCTGTGCTTCTTTCTCCCTCTCTGGCCTGGGTTTGGGGCATTCCCTTAAATATTATGGTTGTTTATAGTCCATTCTATTGAAACTCCACTTCGTAGGGGACGCCTTGGAATGAATTCTAAGGAGATGAATTCTAACTAGATCAGATTTCACGGATTACTGAGATGATCACGTGAATGGTTATCACAGGACAAGGAAAATAAAAAGAACTTGGCTTACTTAGCTTAGGAAGTGATATCATTCCTCACCCTAAATACAACACGAGGATGAGAAAACTACCAAAACCACACACCAGAGCTGCCAGAAAAACAAGAATAATGCCCTTTGGTAAATTAAAGCATTTTCCTGATCATCTGGACAAGGAACAGTTACCCAAAGAGGGAACAAATGCCTGTAGACATAATAAATTTCAAGACAGGGTTCTCATATATAAGAAATTCGGGGACAGCAGTTGGGAGGGGTGGATTCAGGAGGTCTTTCCCAGCCCTGGTCAGGCTGTTTTGTGGAATCTTTCCAAAATTTCCATTTACAGTGCTCTCCAGGAAGTTTCAATGTAGTGCCCATCCTGAGTGATGCCAGCTTTGTTTCTGCAAAATATCTCCTTGTGTTCCTCTCATTCTTTAATGCATATTTTGCACCTTTGCAAACCAAATCTGCATTTCTGCAAACCCTTCAGAGATCTAAAGGAGGATTTGAGGATTGGCAGATTGGAGAGTTACACTGGAATCTTGCATTTTACCTTCCTGCAATCCTAACGTCCAACCTGTGGGTGTTTTTGTGTGGAGAAACAAGCTCAGAAGGGTTCTGCCTGACAGCTCAGCTCTTTTCCAGATATTCTGGCTGAAGCAGCAGATTTCCTCTGGAGATGTTGAGCAAAGGGTTTCAGAGGAGGGAAATCGGGCAGCAGCTACACTTGGGCACTTGGATTAAAGGATGTAGGCCAGAAGCAGTGGTGCTGAGGGACAAAAAATCAGCGTGAATTCAGTAACAGCCTGGACTCCACTCAGTGTGTGGTGCCTGCACCAGCCCTGGGTGATGGAGTTCTGGCTGCCACGTGCCCTTTTTGAGCAGAATTTCACTCCCAGCTCAGTGCTCAGCAGCTCCAGGCTGCTTCCACACTCCGTGGGCTTGGGAGAGCAGCAGAGCGGCTGCACTGAGGGCAGCATGGGCAAGTGCCAGCCCGGGCAGGGAGGCACCCCCGGGTAAATCCACCTCTGCAGCTAAATGGATTGCTAAAACAATCCTTGTGTTGATGAGGCTTTGCAAACCAGGCTATGGGAGCCAAACACTGGCATCACCGGGGAGCTCACAGCATTCCAATCACTGCGCGCTCTCCTGGAGCTTTTGTTCTCCACCCAGGACTTGGAATGGGGTTATTGCAGCCAAACCGGAGACTCCATCAGAAATCATCCTTCTCTGCTTATTTCCCTGCCAAATAAAACCTGTAGATGCACTTTGGCTCAGTTTCATTTGTGTCCTTCCATTTTTTTTAGGATCAGTTTGTTGTTTTTTTTCTTTTCTCATTTATGAAATTAAATCTAAATATAAATGTCTTTGATTAAAAGAAAGGTTACCATCTTTTCTATCATCCTGTATTCTGTTACCTCCTTTGGGCTGCAGAACTGGTGTCTCTTGTGGATTAACTAGAGCAGAGTAAAATCCACAGGATTTTCAGCTCCCTGTGTGTGTACTTTGTGGCCTTACCTTGAGTATCCACCACAACTTGGCTGCTTGCAGATGCTGAATGCTCTTCTCCCTGGCAGCCAATCTCAAGATCTAGCATTTGTCACTTTATTCCAGTGAAAAATCTCAATTCCCTGCTTTTTGGTCTCCGTGCTCTCTTTGCAGGTTTTAAGAATTACCTGCCCAGCCCATCCAAGGAGCAAATCCTCTGCCACAGACCCAAGGGGCTGCAATGCATCTCCCCCTTAGTGCAGAACATGGAGGAGACCCCCGAGCCCATCCCAGCCAAGATCAAAGGACACATTCCCAAATGGATTAATGGAAATCTGCTGAGGAATGGCCCTGGCAAGTTCGAGTTTGGCAATGACAAGTAAGTCTTCATTAAATTAATTTTTTAAGTGGTTCTGGCCTGATCTCTGCTTAAACCTGAAGGGGAAACCCCCCTCATCGCTATTTAGCGCATCTTTTAGTTTCTTTTTACATAAGGGAAGGAAGAAATATTGATGTCACTCTTTTGAGAGCAGTTTCCCCCTCCTTTGGGAGCTCCCATTTCCTGCAAGAGGAGCTGAAGGGTGAAGTCACCCAGGCTGAGTCAGGGGGGCTCTCACCCCCTCACCGTGGTGGGATGGGGAGTAAAACATCCCCAGCTTTGGTCCTCTATCCTGAGCAAAAACCCATCCCCGAGCACTCTGACGTCCAGGGCAGGAATTTGGAGAGTTGGTTGCACCAAATGGTGTGAGCTGCTTTAGAAGCAAATCCACCTAGTTTTAAAAATAATCTATTAAAATATTCCCAGAAGTCACTTAGTCCCTGTGGCTTGGAATGTGCCATTCTAGTAACTGAAAATTCAGCTGATGGCAGCAACTGGCCAAAGCTGATCCCCCATTCCCAGAGTTAGAGCATCAGGTGTCCTGGGAGTCTGACAAATTCCTGGGTTTGGAGACAGTAACATCCTGCAAGAAGCTGACAGCTCGAGGCCTCTGGGTGTGCAGTAATAATTGATATTGTTGTACAGAACAACATAAACTCTATTTCCTGTGCAGGAGTGGCTGTGTAGATTATTTCCCAAAACACCTTCAAGACATCACATCCCGCAGCTGCAAATACTCTTGTTTTGTTTTGTTTTTTGTTTGATTCAGGTGTTTTTCCAAACAAATCCTGGTTAACAGTTCAGGGGATCTGGGAATCAGCTTTTACAAACATCAATAAACCTAACAGAGCATCGTATAATGCCCAACTCTTCTTAATCTCCTTTTTTCCTCTCTCCTGGAAGGTTTAACCACTGGTTTGATGGCATGGCCCTGCTGCACCAGTTCCAGCTGGCCCATGGCAGGGTGACCTACAGGAGCAGGTTCCTGCAGAGCAGCTCCTACCTGAGGAACAGCCGGCACAATCGCATCGTGGCCTCCGAGTTCGGCACCTTGGCCATGCCAGACCCGTGCAAGAGCATCTTCGGCCGCTTCCTGTCCCGCTTTGAGCCGCCACGTAAGAGTGGTTTCAGTAAAAAAATGCAAAGTGTTGTGAGATTTTTCTTGGAGGAACTTGTGGTTAGGTGGAAAGGGAGATGTGAGGAAGTCTGACAGACTTTCTGTGAGCCTGTGTTTTTCTTAGAATATGACCCAAACGCCAAAATTATGCAAATTGGTGTCAGCCTCAGTGGGGGCAGGCAGAGTTTTATGTTTTAATGCCACCTCAGCTTGCTCAATCCTGGATCTTTTTTGCAAATTTCCCAAAGAAAGTTCTCCCCTAGAGAAAAACCTGTGCAGGGCTGATAATGAGCATTACACCCTGATGTTCTACCTGAGACACAGCTTTGTCCTTGAAACGCCTTGCCTTGATAAGCTTGTAGGGTAAGTGGGCTAATCCCTCCCTTCCTGGACTAAGGGGCAGGAGATTATTGAGTAGGGTGAGGGATGGTGCTGCACAGGAATGGAAGTTCCAGTACCTTTAGGATTCTGTGTACATCAGGGAAGAAAGAGGCTTAAATGCAAACAAAGTGTTCCCCAGGAAAAGCAGCGCAGGCCCCAAGTTCACAGCTCGAGAGTGACCATCCTCTGCTTCTCCTCTCCCCTCCTGCCATGGCATCTGTCCTTTCCCGAGGTGCTCACACCTTCACTCATGGTGACATCCCCCAAATCCCCACCCCAGCTCCCTCTACACATTCCAGACCTATCCACATGCCCCATCTGCCTTTGCCCAGCTCCAGCACTGATTTCCATCCCTGTCCTTGTCCCTGTAACCCAGCTTCACCCGCAGTTTCCCTTTGTAGATTAGCGAGATATTTCCAATCAATCACGCAGGGATTAATGTCACTGCAAATGGGTTTATTTGTTTAAACACGTCTAACTTGCCATAATGTGACATGAGCTGCACAGAGCTGTGCACAACTCCGGGATTTCTGTTTCAGAGCCCAGCGACAACGCCAATGTGAACTATGTGCTGTACAAAGGAGATTATTACGTCAGCAGTGAGAATATCTTCATGCACAAGGTGGATCCAGAGACTCTGGAAACGAAGGAAAAGGTGTGGGCAGGTGGGCTAAGGGAGCTGGGCTACAGATGGTGCAGAGCCACACCTTGCTGGATCAAGGGAGTTCCAATCCCAAAGGAATTTGTCTGGACCAGCAGCATCTCTCCTTTGAGTCCCTAACAGCCTGTGCAGCAGCAAGGCAGCTCTCGGGGATGGAGGTGCAGTCACTGCCCAGCTGGGAACAGCTGTCATTTCTCCTCTGCTCTCCCTGCTTGCCTGGGCTTGTCTGCACCTCTCAGCAGAGCAGGAGACAACTTTTTCCTGTGTACAAGAAAAAGTGAACATTGCTTATCTCACATCTGCCTTTTCCCCGGTGCTTTGCTTTCATATCAATTCCCTTTATCTGCTTTTTACACCTCAAGCTTTGCACACTCCAGAGCTGCCCTTGATCAAAGCCTCTGTTGCCAAGGGGTGGTTCAGCTGCCACTTGATTTTCTGCCCCCTGCTAGGAAATGACCAAAACATCAGAGAAGTTTTCCCCTGTGTCCTGTGCATCCTCTCCCAGGAGCGTGGCTGGATGTGACAGGACATCAGCTACGTCTGCCTGCACCCTTAGAGGGGGTTTGGGCTGGATAAAGGGATTCTGCCCTTCCAAAATCAGTATTTACTGCTGGGTCTGTTTGACAGCCAAAAACGCCAGCTCAGAGCATCCCTCAGGCCTTGAGGGAGCCCTCCCTGCAGGATCAGCACTGAGAACTGAATAATTGGATGCAAAACCACTTGAGGTATTCTGAGTGATTTGCCAGCTGATCAGTCCAGAATTCAGTCATTTAAAAGAAACATGGGGATTTTTAGGTTCAGCTCTGTTAAATCATCTTGTCATCAAATGAAATTAAATCCCCTCATGCTATTTTTATTTAGGTGCAGACTGGTATTTTTTTGGCTGAGTGAAGAAATGGTAGGGGTGGTTTCACATTTAAACTCTCCAGTTGGAGATGCCTTAACAGGACCTGGTTTTCTGAGCTTCCAGTGACAAAACTCTTGGTGATTTTTTTGGGGTTACTGATAGAGAAATATCCTTATTTTCAAAGATTTCAGGAAGACTGCAGGCAGAATGAAGGTTGGAGTTCAGACCCCACATTATTAATAACCAATAAAATATGCTCTTCTTCCTCAGACTTCCACAAAACCGACCCTTTGGAAAGTTCTGCACTGACTGAAAATCTTTGCCATTTGCAGGTGGACTGGAGCAAGTTTATTGCAGTGAATGGGGCCACAGCTCATCCCCACTACGAGTCTGATGGGACAACCTACAACATGGGCAATTCCTACGGGAAGCACGGTAAGGTGGGCGTGCCCAGGCTGGATTCTTGGCCAGAATTCCTCCTGGTGCAGCTTCAAGGAGCAGCTGTTGAAGAAACTCCCAAAAAGACCTGGGAATTGCTGTTTCAGGGTCAAAATGTCGATGTCAGTCTGTCCCATAAAACTGGCTCCTCTCAGGATTTAGTTTCAGATGCTTCTGACTTTGGCCTGAATATCCAGAAAATTCTCCTCTTCCTCTCCCAAGCTTTGCTGGAAAACAGGAGAATGATTTTTAAAGTCCCATCCACTTTTGAAGCCTCACCTGAAGAGATTTAACCTGAAGAAATTAGTCACATGATTTTCACTTCCAATAATTGGCTTTTGATGAGCACCATAAGGGTTTTTGCAGGAGAGAAGATAGAATTTATTCTGGTCACCTGGCTATCTTACAGCCAAGCTGAATTTTGTGAGATATTTTTCTTCTTCTCAGAGCTCTGAGCATCTTGATAGGATCCTGTTCCTTCCACATGGTTGCTCAGAGCTGTCTCTTGTCAGCTGTGTGAAATCCTTCTTTTCCAGAAGATCTGAGAACAGCCCCACTGCCCTTTACTGCAGTCCCTCAGGCCAGCTCCACATTTTCCCAGTTTTGACCATTTTTTATTCTTGCTGCTTTCATTTCCTTTTGGCTTCAGCAGAGTCTGTCTCTGTACCACATGCCTTTCACAGCTGGACACACCAAACTCTAGATTATTATTCTTATTCCGAAGCTCCATCCTTTCCTGCTCAAATGCTGAGGCTCATTAAATGAGCATCACCAAGGCTCAAAGTTTTCATTTCCTGTGAGCTTGGTTTTCATCCTGCCCCTTTTATTGTAGGAGAGCACTGCAGGCAGAGCTGGCTTTCTCCCAGGCTGAGAAGATCCTTGGACTTCCTTTCAAGCTTCCTGGTTTTTTGTTTTTCTTTCGGTAGATAAATCCTCTGTAGAATGTTTTACTGCCTGTTGGGTTTCTGCTCAGTTTAGGAGAGGTGGTTCCAGATGTTCCTGGGGGACAGGAAGGAGCAGAACCTGAGTTTGGTTTGAATACCTTTTCCCCTTTCCAGGATCCAGCTACAACATCATCAGGATCCCCCCACAGGAGTCAGGCCACGGGGACACGTTGGAGGGAGCCAAGGTGCTGTGCTCCATCCCTCCCATGGACAGGGCAAAGCCATCCTACTACCACAGCTTTGGTAAGATCCCGCCCCAAACTCAGGGAATTTGGGGATGCTCAAAGGGCTGTCCGGTTCTCTCTGGCCTTGAGGTGTTTTCTCTCCTCATATTTGGGTGATATTCCTTCCTTCTCTCCTCAGGGATGACGGAGAACTACATCATTTTCATCGAGCAGCCCCTCAGGCTGAACCTCTTGAAGATCATCACCTCCAAGCTCCGTGGGAAAGCCATTTTTGATGGGATAAGCTGGGAGCCTCAGCACAACACCTACTTCCACGTGGTGAACAAGCACACTGGGGAGGTGAGGGCGTCTTTGGCCCCTGCAGGAACTAATCTGGAACTTTAGATCCCAAAAGTGCTACTTAGCAGCCATGGGGAGTTTAAGATCAATCCAGAAGTTACTGCAATAAAGACTGCAAAGCAGGAGTGTAGATCTGTTAAAAATGGGATTTGTTTGTGCATTTTCCTCTCCATTCATTCATTTCTTCGCCAGCCCTAAAAGGACAGGCAGAAAGAAGCAGTTTGGAGTTCACAAGACTTCAGCACAGGGACTGAGATGCAGGTCCCAGGTACCACAGGGCATAAAAAGGTCAGAACCTGGGAAAGACGCACAGCAAGGGGCTGCTTGATATTTTGGGTTTTCTTCTTCCCACTTTGCTCCTTACTGGCTTAAAGCAGCTCTTTTGTGGGAACACAGGGCCAGAAGGCAAAGCCCAAGGGATGAGAGGGGTTGAAATGGAGATGAGAGGGGTTGAAATGGAGGGGGAGAGAGGAGGAAGCTCTGTGAGGTGAGGCTGGAGCTCTGCAGTGAGCTGCAGCTGTCCCGTGCTCCCTGCAGGTGCTGCCAGGGCAGTGGTGCTCCAAGCCCTTCGTGACCTTCCACCAAATCAACGCCTTTGAGGAGCGGGGCTGCGTGGTGCTGGACCTGTGCTGCCAGGACGAGGGCACCAGCCTGGCTCTGTACACACTGCAGAACCTGAGGAGGAGCGGGGAAGGGCTGGACCAGGTGAGATCCCTGCCTTTGCTCCCCCTCTCCCAGCATCTGCTGCAGGAGTTGCTTTTCTGCAGCAAAGCTCAGGTTGGTATTCATTGGTTCTCAATGGAGAACATCAACAAGTCCATAAAAACTGAAATGTTCATCTCTTGATTCTTTCTCTCCTTTCAAATCCCTCTCCATGGAGCATGCCCTTGAAACTCTTCAAGCTCTGTGTGTGACACAGAGCTCTGTAGCCTGGCAGAATTTATTTCTGGTTTAAAACCTTGGTTTCAATGACATTCATTTTCCTTATCCTTGTGTAATACAATTTTCCCCCAAGAAATTATGCAAAATAAGTTGTAGCATGATTTCTAAATGGAAAAAGAAAAAAAGAACCCTGTTCTTTAAGGCATTACTTCTGAAAAAGAGCAGTTTTTATGAAAATCTCAGAAACACAAATACCACGGAAACCCCTACACTGTTCCCCACGGTCACCTCACAGCAACACATTCAAATAAATCATTTATTGTGTCCAGCTCTGTGAAAAGCCCCTTTTCAGGCCGTGTGAGGGGCGTTATTTTGCATAGGTCACACATGGGAAAAGTGGGGGTGCTTTCAGTTTCTGGCCCTGCAGATGTGTTTGTTGGAAGCCCAGCGTGCTGGGGAGGCTGCTGCATGTCCAGACAGGGCTCAACTTCCCCTGTCTGCGTCCTGAGCTGTCTGCAAGCGGCTCAGCTCCGACCTGAAAGGAGCACAGATGTCTCCCATCGGGTTCTGCTTTCTTTTGGCAATTTTTGGGGGCTTTTATCAAGCATTTTTTGAACATACTCAAACACCACAGAGTGTTAATCCCAGCTTTTTTATTTTGTCCTTTCTCTGAGCACAACCCAGGTGGAATTTGGTGTGGCTGAGGGTGCCCTGGTGTCAACACCGAGCCTGTGTTTCCAACACCCTTTTCAAGTGACAAGTGGCATCACCAGCACACTTCACCCCTCACACACAGAGGAGTCATTTCAAAACAGAAAACTCAAACTTCACAAGGCAACAAAAGCCTCAGGAGTGTCTGGGCATGGCTTGTCTCCTTTCCCCAAATTTGCTTGCTCACTAATCCTGGCAGAGTATTTTGTCTGGCAGAGTTCCTCAGCTAGGCTATGAACCAGAAAAGTTTTGAAAACCTGGTTTCAGGATTAACACATGTGATTCAAATGAAGTTTCACAACTCAACTGGTGAGTTGCAGGTCGAAGTAACTGAAAGACACCAAAATAGGGTTTTTATCTGTTTTATTTATATGGGAATATGATGGGTTATAAAGTTGGCTTGAGCAGAGCTTTAGTGGCAGTGGTGGAATTCTCCCTCTCAAGGTGCTGAGTTTGCCACGCTGGGGGCTGCACTTTGCTCCCCAGGTAAATCCCTGGACTTCCCTGGACTTCCAGCCATGAATCCACGTGGACCTGAGCATGGAAGAGGGAATCCTGCAGGGTAACTCCAGGCACTGAAGGCACAGTGCTCTCCTGCTCCACAGAGTGATGTGAAGCAACACAAACCTGTTCTAACTAAATAAAACATAGTGTGATGTCTGTCCCACTGCTGGATTAGGAGATAATGGGCTGATTTTCATACCCAACAGCATTAGTTATTGTGAGGGCAGTGCTGACCCTTTTAATTCTTGTGGTTTGTTTTTTTGCTGTAAATTACTGGAACATGCAGGGAACTTTTTCTTTCCATTATGTGCTTTACCTTATTATTATTAAAGTATTATGTGCTTTACCTTACCAGAGCTTGGTCAAACACATAAGGAAAAGAAAAAGAATTCAGGGGTGTCTAAAACTTCAGAATTGTTCCCCAGAAGTGCATTTAGGCTGAAGTGTGTGTCCTCTGCCCATCACCATCACGTTCTGTCTCTGTGACAGGTTTATGCCTCCGTTCCCAGAGCTTTCCCTCGCCGCTTTGTTCTCCCTCTGGACGTGGATTCAGACACACCTGTGGGGAAAAACCTCAACCCACTGCCTTACACCCAGGCAAAGGCTGTGAAAGGTGCAGATGGCAAGGTGTGTATCAAACCACAAATGCATTTATGCAGCAGCTCCTGCCCTGTGCCTCAGAGCTTTAACCACTTTTGCTGGTGCAGCGGCTGGTGGGATCAGCTCTCCTGCCCTGTCCGAGCTGAACCAAGCCTGCTATCATTTCTGCACGTTTCTCCCAGGTCTGGTGCACACACGAAAATCTGCACCCTGAGGGCTTTGAGAAAGTTGGGGGCCTGGAGTTTCCCCAGATCAATTACACTCGCTGCAACGGCAGGAGGTACCGCTACTTCTACGGGTGTGGATTCGGCCACTTGGTTGGAGATTCCTTGATCAAGGTTGACGTGGAGACCAAGAATTTCAAGGTGAGGTGAAGTCAGCTCATCGAGCCCTTCCACTGAACTGGGTTTGCAGGTGTGTCATTTACTGGGGGCTTTAGGGCTTTGCCCAGGTGGGTCTGGGATGAGATTCCAAATTTCATCCCTCACCTGGCACTTTATGGGCATGGCACAGTCACCAAACAGGAGAGGATGGAATCACACTCCTGGAATGAAAAATAACAATAAATAATTAAAATGTTGAACTTTGAAGTTTCTTGGAGCACAGAGTATTTCCAGGTGCCTTTGTGGGGAGCACTTGTAACTCTGCTCACTGTAGTAGACAAGTATTAATGAAATGAAACTCATCCATATGTCCCTGAAACTCATCCATATGTTCCTGTCCTTGCTAGATTTGGCAGGAGGAGGGATCCTACCCATCAGAGCCTGTGTTTGTGCCAGTGCCTAATGCCACGGCAGAGGACAGCGGGGTCATCTTGTCTGTGGTGGTCTCCCCCACTGAGGTAACTTGCTGGCAGCAGTTTGTCCAAGTCACACAGCATTAATTCACTTTCTAAACCTCAAAAGTGAGTTTGAGGCTTGCTGGGAGGTTGTTCCTTGCCCCCCAGAGTGCCTGGCTGTGTCATGGCCAAGCACAGACAGTGCAAGCTGGAGCTTTCCTCAGAATGTCGGTGTTTCCTGATGGATCCTGTGGCTCTCAGTGCTCCTGGCCTGCAGGTTTGGTGCTTTGTGTACAAACACAGTGGAAAAGAGTTCAGCCTGGACACTCACTCTGCCTTTCTCCTGCAGAACCAAAGTGCTTTCCTGCTCGTGCTGGATGCAGAGACCTTCCAGGAACTGGGGCGAGCAGAAGTCGAGGTGCCAATGCCTTACGGGTTCCACGGCATCTTCACTGCCCACTGAGGAGCTCCTGGGCACCTCCTGGGACTCGGGGCCCAGCCAGGCTCAGAAAAAACCTCTGCTGCTTTCATCTCCCACCTTCCCATCAGATCTGGGATGAAGGAACTGCTTTTTCTCCACCATAACTTGTATTCCTAACAAAATACAGCCGAGGAAGGCAGAAGCCCCTTTGCTCCCACAGCCCACTGCTTTATCTCTATTTTTTTTTACTATCTTGCTAGACCAGCCATAGCAGCAGCTCACAAAGGATGCCAGGTTGAGGCTTGCAAGGGAGAAAATGGGAGCTGAAGTGATCAACCCCTTCCTTTGGCAGCAGTGTGCTCTGAGGGGAAGAGAGCATTGACGCTCAGGGCTGTGACTTTGGCTGAAACACGTAAAGCAGAAGAGAGGAATAAAACCCAACAGGTGACAGATGGGCCCAGTGGAGGGGAGGAAATCCCGCCTGCATCAAGGTTGCCTTCGCTGGACTCCAGAGGGTAGATGCAGACACTCACAGAAGCTGTGCTTGTGCTTTTCTCTGTCCCATAGCAGTGCCCTCAAATAAAACCTTGGGAAGTTTTTTCCTTTCTTTCCCTGCCCTCACAAAGTCTTGTAAATGTGGGGGACACATCTCCAGAGCAGGATACAGCTCTGCTGGCTGATGCTTCCTGCCTTCCTCCCAGTTCAAGCAGTAGGAAACACCAGTAGGAGACCCAGGGAGCTGCAGTGTGGCCTTGGTGTCCCCTGGGGTTAAGCAGAGCATTACAAACCCCAGCCCCCGGTGTCACCCAGGCTCCTCCAGCTGCTGAATTCTGTGTAGGTGGGTGGAAAGTGAAGAGCTCCAGTTCTATTTTTAGATTGTGAGAAGCCTGAAGAGTTATTTGAATAATTTCACCCTTGAGGCTTTACCTCCTCCGACCTTCCTTTACCTTCCCTACAGGTGTTGGGAAAGGAAAAAGGATTTTACCTCAGGGCCGCTGCTCTGGGGGAGGCAGAGGAGGCTCAGCCAGAGCTGGTGGAAGCCACTAGATGGCAAACAGCTCCCGTTCCTGCCGTTCCAGCCCTGCCCTGCAGCCTCCTGCCTCTCTGCTGCCTCCGGGTCATTGTCACATCCCCGCAATGTCCCCCCTGTCCCCCGCGGGGATCAGCCCCAGCCAGGCCGCACCCGCAGGACGGGCACCAGAACGATGCTAAGAAATGTTTAATGGACCTCAAGCACCAATGGTTCTCTTTTAATTTAATTTAATTTTATTTATTTATTCTCGTTGAGGTGGGAAACGAACAGGGGTCAGTGGCTCAGGTGCGACCTTGCGGGAATTCCAGCCAGGCTGTGCTGTGTCCCCAAAAATGCCGTGTTTAAAGCTCCGCTTCCCCAGCACACAGCCCCTGCCTGGCTGGGCACACGGGCTGTGCTCCCCCGCCTCAGCAGCTGCTCTGGAGCCTGCTCCTCTCCCAGAGATCCGAGCCTTGGAGATTTCCCACCCTGACGACGGGACAGATTCCGCAGGAATTCCCAGGAATTAAGGGAATGTACTTTCAAACCCTTGCAGCGCTGAGAAATCCAGGTTCTCCGCGTTCTCCCAAAGCTTCCCGACAAACACCACGCTAAAGATTCCTCTGCTTCAACTCCCTGAATGTTATTGCCGGGGTGCATTCCTTCAGCTCTGTCCACAACCATCCCGGGGGGGATTGGAGCATGCTGGGACCAAACACGGGGGGATTGGAGCATCCTGGGACCGAACACGAGGGATTGGAGCATCCCGGGACCAAACACGGGGGAATTGGAGCATCCCGGGGCTGAACACGGGGGAATTGGAGCATCCCGGGACCAAACACGGGGGGATTGGAGCATCCTGGGACCGAACACGAGGGATTGGAGCATCCCGGGGCTGAACTCGGGGGAATTGGAGCATCCTGGGGCTGAACACGGAGGAATTGGAGCATCCTGGGACCGAACACGGGGAGATTGGAGCATCCTGGGGCTGAACACGGGGGAATTGGAGCATTCTCGAGTCCGACACCGGCACGGAGGGATCGGAGCCCCCCCGGATCCGACATCGGCATCGAGGGATTGGAGCATCCCCGCATCCAACACCGGCACGGAGAGGCCGGAGCATCCCCGCGTCTCGGCGGGCGGATCCCGGGGGCTGGAGCCGCCCCTGGGCCGGGATGAGGCCGGGCTGGAGCCGCCCCCGGGGCCGGGCTGGAGCCGCCCCGCTGTGTCCCCGCTGTGTCCCCGCCGTGTCCCCGCGATGTCGCCGCGCTCCGCCCGCCTGGCGCGGCTGTCGCGCTCCGTCACCTTCAGCGCCTGCCACCGCCTGCACAGGTGAGCGGCCCCGCACAGGTGAGCGGCCCCGCACAGGTGAGCGGCCCCGCACAGGTGAGCCCCGCCGGGAGGAGGCTCCGAGCCCGCAGCCGCTTCCCGGTTCTCTCCCTGGCTCAGCCCCTTCCCGCAGCTCCATCCGTCAGTGCCCGGCTGCAGTTCCGCCTTTTCACTGAGCCGGTGGCGCTTTCGGTTTGGAAACATCGCCCTGTGCCTCTCGATCTGCCGGTTTTTCTCCCACAATTGATATATTCCTAAAGGGTGCCTTGATCTGAAACTGCCTCCGAGGAGGGTTTAGGCTCGGTGTCCTCCCTCAGGCTAGGAGCGATAGGACAAGGGGAAACAGCCCCGAGCTGTGCCGGAGGAGGTTTAGGCTGGACATCAGGAGGAATTTATCCATGGAAAGGGTGGTCAGGCCTTGCAAAGGGGCTGCCCACAGAGTCCCCATCCCCGGAGGCGCCCAAGGAACCCCTGCATGTGGCATTCAGTGCTCTGGGTCATGGGTTGGACTCCATCATCTCACAGCTCCTTTCCAGCCTCAGAGATCCTGGGATTCTGTGATCCAAAATGTGCCTTGACCCGAAACACTCAGAGCAGGCCCCTGGATTGCTTCAAAGGGAAGATTCAGAGGGAATTCCTCTTCTTGGAGAGGCTCCCTAAGCTTTGTTAATTAATAATAAACCCAAACGTGCTGCTTGCTCCAGGCCTAAGCGATTTTGGGCCCAGATGTTGAACATTTATCCAGCTGTGGTGTCAGGCAGATGCTGTGAAACAGACACAAAACCACAGCAAGAGAAGATTCACCACTGTCAACAACATCTTGTCATGGACCAAGCACTCCTCTGTGTTTGTGCCTCCTGAGCTGGTGGCTTAAAGTGGGAGAGGGAATAGATGGAGAGCTGGAGAGCAGAGCTGAGTGAATGTGTGAACATCTGGAGCAGATCCTGACGTGCCATGCCTGCCTTTCCCACAGCAAATCCCTGAGTGATGAGGAGAACCTGAAGCTGTTTGGGAAGTGCAACAATCCAAATGGCCACGGGCACAACTACAAAGGTGGGAAGCTGATTTCCATCCTTGCTCATGGAGGGACGCTGCTCTCAGGGTGGGGATAACCCCCAGGAGGGTCGGGCTACTCATTCTCAGCAGCCTGAGACAGCTTTTAGTGGCTGGGTTTGTGTTTTTATTAAGAATTAGGAGGAAATTTCAGCAGCAGGGGGTTGAACCATAGCATGGGTTTGCCATCTATTCAGCTGAATAGATAATAAATATTTATCTTCAAATGCCACTTCTTGAATCAAATCTGCTTGTTTACACTCTGCAGAATCATTGTGATTGGAATGGAGATTTTTTCTAAGCAAAAGCCATGCAAATTAAACAGCCTGTAAACATTATTTGAATGGGTTTTTTTTTCACAAGTTTTCCCATTTCTACACCCTGAGCACACAGAATTAGATCTCTCCAGTTCCTGGAGTGGCTCCCTGTGTTGTTGGCACCCTGAAAGCTCTGCTGAGGAGCTGCTTTTCCAGGGAGGACAGCCTTATCTCCACCTGCCTGGGGCACCAGGCCTTGGGGAAGGATTTTTGTGCCTCTGAGTCGTTGTTTTTGTGGAGCATCCCCTCATTTTATAAAACCAGTGCCGCTCCTGAGTGCACAGTGTGGGCGAGCAGGGAATGGGCAGTGTGTCCCCAGCAGCAGCAGGTTTGGTTTTGGCTTCATGGACATCACAGTGACCTGATCTTTTCTCTTTTGTTCCAGTTATAGTCACTGTGCGAGGAGAGGTGAGTGCAGCCAGCTTCTTTTTCCTGTTCCTCAGTGTGACAGAATCCCCACAGTTCTGGCTCCATGCCTGGATTTCCCAGAGTATTTTGGAAACTCTGTGCACATCACTAGAAAAGAAGGTTTGCTGTGGTCATTGTCCTGTTCACAACAAGGATTTGCAGTTTAATGCTGTTTTCATGCTTTTATCATCACGTTTGAAGACTTCCAGTGAGTTGTGACTCCCTGGTGTCAGCTTTTAGGAGAGAGCGGAACCTCTGGAATTGTTTCCAGGCTGTATCAAGCCCTTGGGAACACCACAGGAGTGGAGTTGGAACCCTCTGACAGAGGAAAGATATTTTCCTTGTGGCTCAGATGACCTGAGCACAGATATTCCTGTCTGATTTGTGTTGCCAGGCCACCGATCTCCCTTGTGCTTCCCCTGCAGATTGACCCAGTCTCAGGGATGGTGATGAACCTGACAGACCTGAAGGAATTCATGCAGGTAAAAATAGCCCAGTTTTCCTTCTAATCCCCTGGGAGAGCTGATTAGAGCTCAGCAATTTGTCTGGTACCAGCATGGGGACGTGGTGAGCTGATGATGGCAGGACATAAAAAAGAAATTAAGGAATAATTGAAAACTTAAATGCCTTAGCTCTGTTATGTGAGGCAGTGCCACGTCTCCAACTGGGAATTTCACAGCTGGATTTGGGGGTCTTTCCCTTTCTCCCCATCCCAGGCCAGACAGGGACAGGGTTGTCACTGTCCTCTCTCTGCAGGAAGCGATCATGGAGCCGCTCGACCACAAAAACCTGGACAAGGATGTGCCCTTCTTCTCCGAGGTGGTGAGGTGGGTGACGGGGGCTCCTGGGCTGTTGGAACAGTCTCCAGAGCCTGATCCCACCTGGGAACCAGCAGCCTTCACCTGTGTGCTGACCACACCTGTGGCCAGCCCTGCTGCCCCTCGTCACATCAGCCTGGCCAGAGGGACCTGTCCCCTCCAGCCCATTCCACCCCCATTCGCTGGCAGTGGCACCAGCCCTGCTCAATTCAGGTGGCATCAGCTGCCCTTCAGCATCCCCCCAGCCCATCCTGGCTGCAGCTGCCCCAAATATTGGTGTCATTTCTGCCATTTCAGCCAGTTCTGACCCTGCTGTTCCCCCTCAGCACCACGGAGAACGTTGCCGTGTTCATCTGGGACAGCCTCCAGAAGCTCCTGCCCCAGGGAATCCTTTACAAGGTGGAAGTGCAGGAGACAGAGCAGAACGTCGTCGTTTACAAGGGAGAAGAAACAATTGTGAAGTGAAATCAGCCTCAGCTCAGCTGCTCAGGAGAAATGCTCCATCATCAGCTCCATGGATTCCTCCAGCCCTGCTCAGCATTTCCTGCAGCCAGCCCCGGGTTCTCTTACATCAGGACAAGTGCAGATGTTTCACAAGGACCCTCGTGGGCAGCAATTTTCCCGTCTGGGTTCTCAGAATGGGTTGGTTTCTCTGTTTTTCCTCAAGACCTTCCTGTTTTGCCCAGCTGAGCCACCCAGCTGATGTGAAATTTAGAATTATGCCGTGGTAAATAAAGTAGCTTTGGAGAGAAGAGGTGGCCTGGCAAAACCAAAAAATTCTTTGATTTCTCTCTAATTAAATATTGATTTATGATATTTAATAACGTGAGCTTTGGTGTTGCTTTGCTTCTTGATCAAGCAGAGAAGCATTTTTGAGAGTGGGAACTACTTTATCTCTTGTTTTGCTTATCAGTTTATTTCCTGTGCTGCTGGCACGTTTCTTCCTGTGGCCAGCAGATGTTTCTCTGGGTGTGGGACTGGTGTAGTGGGCAATAAAAAAAGCACTTCTGATCCAAACTGGAGAGCCAAAGGGTGTTGGTGAGAATGGAAAACGGAGGAAACTGAAGTGGGGATGTCACAGCCCCAGTGGTGGCAGAGCCCCGGGGAGGGAGCGCAAGAATAAACCCTTAAATCAACCCTTAAATCAGCCCCAAAATTCAGTGGAGGTTGTTGCAGCGGGGTGAGGCTGTGAGAGCAGTTTAAATGGACACTACCCCAATTATCCTGGATATTCCTGGAGTTGGAGGCACGCTGGGAAAGCTGAGGAAAGGCAGTGAGGGAATGGCTATTGCACAATTCCTGCGGTTCAAGGCCATCAAGTCACGGTGTCTGTCCAGAGGCAGAAGTGACAGGGCTGTGTGAGATTCCCTTTGTCACATGAGCAGTGTCCCGAGGAGTAATTAGGAATGGCCATTAATAATAACTTAATGCATATCATTAAAAAAAAACCCCTGATAAGCAGGGCAGCAATTCCCTCCCTTGACAAGGAATTTGAGTATTTGAATAATGGGAGCAAACAGCCCCTTTGGGGAGGTTTAATGAAGCTTGCCTAACTGTTCACCTTGACCACGCTCTGCTCCAGGCTGAGGTGAAGTTACACTGCCAAAAAATACCTGGGCTGGCTTTAAAACTGCTTTGGAATGTGAAGTGGGGACTGCTTTACCTGAGGACAGCTCTGTGCTGCCCCTGCCCTGGTTCAGCTTCGCTCAAACTCCCTGGGAGAGCTTCACAAAGGGAATAGAGAGCAAAGTGAGGGATATTCCAGCCTTCTCCTTTGGCAGAGCAAAACCTCTGCCCTGGGAGCTCCGCCTTTGGGGTTTGTTCCTTCTTAAAGGCGGTGCTTTGGGGAATATTTGGCTGCAGGTTCCTTGCAGTGTCAGCCAGGCAGAGAGTGTTCAGCACCTCGGATAAAATGAACACTCTGCTGACGCATTACCCCCTTTTCCCTGCTTTTTTCTCTCTCCAAATGTGGAACCAGCCATTTTTGTTCAGCGTGGGCTCCATCCAGGGAGGTTTTGCAGCTGCTCTGACCCCTCCTGCTGCTCTGTGGCTGGCTGCTGTGGCTGTGTCACTGCTGAAATGATGTGGAGCCGTGCTGGTGCTGCTGATTCACGGAGCACCCGGTGTCTCCAGTGAGTCACAGACACTCAAACACATCATGTGGTGTCTTTTATCAGAGCAGGAATGCATTCAGCTGCTGGCAAAAGCCAAGCAAACAAAGGTTACATCTGTACAGCACAGCCCTCTGCTTTTATTGGCACAGAGGCAGAAGGTAGAGCCCAGACTCCTGTGGATTTCTGCAGTTCAACAGCCCTGAAAAAGGCCCAGCCTGTTTGTGTTTGTTGCTGTGTGCACCTTGGAGATTCATCTGTGTCAATTATTCTGATCTCTGTGTTTCAATAACTGCAGGGGAAATGGGAATAAATTGTGTGGCTGGGCAGTGGTTTGGGTGAAAGGGGTTGGAAACACCAGAGCTGGAGCTGTAATTGGGATTGCAGTGGGTGCTCATCCTGCTCAGAGGGCTCTGGAGCTTTGCAGAAAATTCTCAGCGGAATTCCAAATTCCCAGCTGAGGGAGGGAGGGTTTTATAGGGAGAGAATGAACTCCCAGAATTAAACATTAAGCTCTGAGTTACTGAGTGATGAAATGCTTTGAAGGACTGTTGAGGTGGCAGTGGGGACCAGGACGGCCCTGAAGGGTCACAGCAGATCCCAGCAGAGGCTGCAGGAACAGGACTTCAGTGCTCTACATGTGAATGGCAGGGAAATAATGCCAGGAATTGTGCCCAGTCGTGTTCAGGGGGACTGAAGGACCCGGCTCTGCCTTCCTGGCACATGAGAAATGAAATCAGGTTTGTGGAAGGGCAGGGCTGGCTGAGCAGGGAGGATGTGCAAGCAGCAGATTGAGTTTAATGCCTGGGGAGCTGCTGGTTCTGTCAGTGAAAAGCAAAGTTTGAGGCTGCCCAGGAAATCTGTCAAACAGCAGCTTAAAAACTTAGTACTAAGTTTTATTTATATTAGATGATAGTATTAATTATAACAATATATATATTATATTTCATATTATATATAAAGGATATAATATAATATGATTACATAAAATTATATTATATTATATTATATTATATTATATTATATTATATTATATTATATTATATTATATTATTATATTATATTATATTATGTTATATAATGTTACATTATGTTACATTATATTAATATAGAATATTTTAGATGTTATATAATATTCCCCAATATGGATAATATTATATTATATTATATATACTATATAATGCTTTAAAATTCAATTAGTAAAAATTAATTTTTGGTTTAGGGAGCTTTTTTTTCCCCCCGGTCCGGCATGGTGCTGAGGTTCTAGATCATTCCACGGGGTTCTAGACTATCCTGCCTGTCCTGGTGGTGCTGAGGTTCTAGATCACCCTGTGGGTCCTGAGCATCTTCCAGCAGGTCCTGGATCCATCCTGAGGGCCCTGAGCATCTTCCAGAAGGTTCTGGATCCATCCCGAGGGTCCTGAGGGACTTCCAGAAGGTTCTGGATCCATCCCGAGGGTCCTGAGGGACTTCCAGAAGGTCCTGGATCCATCCTGAGGGCCCTGAGGGACTTCCAGAAGGTTCTGGATCCATCCTGAGGGTCCTGAAGGCTGCTGAGGTTCTCCCGGGGTTTTGGACTGTCCTGGGTGATCTGGAACCTCAGCACCGGGCGAGGTCCAGCAGAATAGTCTAGAACCCCCGGACTGGTTCCAGAACCTTGGGACTCTCAGGATGGATTTTGGGGTGAAATTTGGGGATTTTGGGGTGAAACCCTGGGGGATTTTGGTATGAAATTTGGTATGGATGTGTCTAGTAGATGTATTACGGTTATATATATAAAATAGACAGGGGTGTGAAAGGAAATGCTCATTTTTACTGCTCAGTAGAGTAAAAATAAATGAAAATGCCACTGATGGGGCTCATGAATGGACAAGGCCACAGGAGCCACCTTGGGGACAGTCTGGGCCATGGGAGGTGCCATGGGGATATTTAAGTGCAATTTCATATTTATTATCCAAGGCTGTAATCTTAGGAGATAGACGGATCAACAAAGAGATTGGAGTTGAGCAGTAATTTCCAGCACTAATTAGGATTTTATTGTGTTTTGCACTGGGGTAGCAGGAGATAAAGCATGTCCCTATCTCTGCTAATTACCCTGCCTGCTAAACAGATGCCAATTTTAATGGCTGGGCACTAAAAAATTCATTTCTCTGAAATTCTGCGAGAACATTCCATGAACTCAGCACTGCAGGCTCCAATTTCATCTGTGACATTGGCCTGGGGAATTCTGGCTTTACAACCCAATCCCTCCACTCCCCATCAGGAAGCAGGGAAGGAAATGGAAATTAGGATGGAACAAGTGGAGTTTGTTTCTGAGGGCAGAATTACCTTTGTTTCTTGAGGCAAACCATGGCTTTTGTACAATTTGAACAAGCAAAGAGTTGAGTGAAAGCTCAACCTGAAAGCCAAACCAGCCTTAGCAGGTGTTTAATCACAACTGTCAAATTTTACTGATAATATTTCAGACAATTCTGTGGGAATTTAAAAAAATTTCCCCCTTAGGCCTGATGTCTGAGTGCCTGAAAAATAGAAATGGGCAGGGACAAATTCTTCTGAATTCCTGAGAAGCAGAAATGGGTAGGGACAATTTTTTCTTGTGGTGCTCAGCTCCTGCTTTAAATTTTCAGGCTCCTTTATTGCCAGGCTCTTCAATCACTTGGGAATTAGGATTTATTCAGCAGAAATGAGGGGATTTGGCCAGCTCTGGGCTGGGAAGGGCAGTTTCAAGCCAGGGCTCTTTTTCAGATCTGAAATATTTGTTGTGGATTGGGGCTCAAGCCTCCTGAAGAGGAAGCACAAGAGGATTAAAGGGGCAGGAATCTGTTCCTGACCCTTCCCCATAAAAATCCTCTGGCTCACCCCATGCAGGATTGCAGAGCTCAGGCCTCACCTTCATTTGTTGCTTTATGTGCTCATCTGTGGGATCAAAGCCAAATATTTCAGAATCATTTCAAACCTTCCTCCCCACACCATCACAACGAAGCCAGGAAATAATGGGAGGTGCAAGAAGCAATTTTAATTCCTTATTTTATTTAGATTGGTTTATTTAGATTGCTTCCCACGAGTTGGAAATTTTCTAAATAAATGTTTTTCCCTTATAAAAATACAAACAACAACAATAAAATCAAGACATCCATTGGCCCACGCAATCTTGCCCTACAGAAAAATCAACTGTTGATTAATTTAAAAAAAAAAAGAAAAAAAAATGCCCAGACAAATCAGAAAAAAAAAAATAGAGGGAAAACAAAGAGAAACTTTGCTGAAAGGACAAAATTTCGGGGATTTTGGAGCAAATAAGAGCACGGAGGATGAATTGCTAGGGCTTGGTGTGGAGGGCAGGGGTGGGCAGCTCACTGCGCTTCCCTGGAGCTGTTCAGGTGGGGTTTGAGCAGATTTCCCCTGGCAGGCTCAGCTCTGCTCCCTGAGCTCTGGGGATGGAGAGGCAAACCCAGACCTGCCCTGGAGCTTCTCAGCAGCTCCGGTGCCCTGAGAGGAGGAGGAGGGAGAGGAGGAATCCTCCTCTCTTCAGGCACTTGGTGCTTCACAGAATCCCAGGGGATGAGGAGGCCGTGTTCAGTGGGGTCTGCTCACCCATTTCTGTGTCTGAAAACCCAGGGCAGAGGGGTCCCTGCTGTGAAATATTTCCTTTTGCTGAGGCCGTGGGTGAGGGGAGCGGGGGGAGGATCAGCCCGGAGCTCCTTTATCATTTA